TGCTTATGGTCGTCGATACGTCTTGGTTTGCTTTGCAAAAACGAAATCTTTGATAATTCCACATATAGCGAAATCCATCGGGGTCAAATCTGATGAATGTGTAGGCCACTTTGTCTTAGCCATCTTCCTGAAATTTCTTCCTTTGAGAGCAAAATGTAGTGGTGCCTTATCCTGTTGGAAATTAAGCCGGCAGGTATAAGTTAGATGATAAATTACGTAAACTTCTCTCATTGGCCAAATTAACTTCCGATAACACTACAATTATAAACCAAGTAACTAGTGACTTTATTGCTACACTATATATATATATATATATATATATATATATATATATATATATATATATATATAGAGAGAGAGAGAGAGAGAGTAAGAGTGAGTAAATTTTAATTATTTTTTATCCGACATTATTTCTTCTTATTATAAACGTTATTTTTAGTTGGGATTTTGAATACCTACTAAAGAAAAGTTCTGTCTCCGACTAGAATCGAAACTGCATCCCATTTTTTCATCAGGGAAATCGCTTTTTCGACTTATTTTTGTTGTGATACTTTCAAGTTTACGGATTAATTTCTTGGTTTCCTTAGAAAATAGAAAAGGATTACAACTAAAATAAATCAGCTTGATATGGTAAATTATTTAACCAAGCCTGTTTGGATGAAAATATGCTGCCTAAATACACACACACCATGAATAGAGCAATAATTATTTATTATAATTTTTATATAGGGACAAAACAACTTACTCACTACAAAGATGCATTCCTGTTTCGATGCGAATGCATCTCGACTGGTGAAAACCCCCAAAAGGTATAAAAAAAAACTATTTTTGATTTTCACTAGTCGAGAGGCATGAGCATCGAAACAAGAATGCATATTTGTAGTGAGAAGTTGTTTTGTCCTTATGTAAAAATTATATATATATATATATATATATATATATATATATATATATATATATATATATATATAGGATTTTATGATTTTAAGGGATGCAATGGGTAAATGTGCTCGATATCAGAGATAGAGTGTATGTAAATATAAAAGGGACACTGAGATCAAGACGAAGTGGCAATATTCTGTTTCATGTTTAAAAGCAATCTTCAGGCCATACCCTCGAGAATGCGTTCAAGCATGAAACAGGTTGTCGCTGCGCGGTGTTGACCTCAATGTCCACTTATATATATATAACTCAAAATTATTATTATTAATAATAATTTGCTATAATTTATCTAGAAGTTAAATCAGATTTGTTGCTTCTAACATTACGAGTATAACAAGCGTAGCAGTTTAGACTACGATAATCGATAAAGCATGAGGGGTAATTTGATGAAGTGAGATTTGATCTGCTAATCGTAAAGTTCTCTGTAGCTCAAACAATAAACAAAACTGGTACGTTTAACTAAACTTTCCTGAATCAGAGGTAATGTGAGTTTGATTTTTAATTTTTATTATTTCGAACCGGCTCATTGCTGTAGATTAACGACCCTTTTAATTTGAGATAAACAGCGTCTAAAAATGAAAAGAAATGCCATTCAAAATGAATGATGATTATTGATGATGTTTCATTTAAAAATTTAAAAATAATAGTAAGTCTGCAATAAACTTTGAATAAACCTGTTATAAAGCGGGTTTGTCGAGGTTTCTGGTGATCAATCAGAAACATAAAAAATACCTATTTTCGTTGATGTTCTAGAAATGATCGCTGTTTATGTCTACTTTTATGAACATTACAACGTTCAATCTGGCCATAATTCTGCTTCTGAACAGAACTTTTTACACAATACACTTAGGAGCCTCCCTAGAATCACTCTCTTTTCTTCTACATACTGCGTCCCTTCAGAATATAAGCGATAACGGTTCTCCACAGCTTCTCATTCCTTGTGTCCTTTGGCAGTTTTACTCTCTTTGCTGAGGATCCAAACAACTTCCACCATCAATTCACCCAAGTCCATAAGGGTACGTGTCTCACTGCCTTCTACTATCTCTCTTCAACAGAGGTTTCTCCTTTGTTTCCTGTTTAAGATTGGGTTTCCGGTTCCTTCTCATGCCTTCTCGTTCTCTTCCACGCCCAGTACTTCTTTCTTAGTCGCATTATCATCTTGTTTGGGGTCAATTGATTGAAAGAAGAAAAAAGATTTTGTGGAATTCGGCCCTACATCTTTCAAAATGTCGACTACTATGAGATTTTTTCAGCATGCCTTTTCACGTTTCACATTTTCAAACTCAAACCTTTTTTTTTTATTTGTTTACACTATATTGTTCTGACTGTTGTCATCATATTTATTGCCAGGCTCACAACGTCTGGGCCGTTGTACGCTCCGGCCCGCTTCAGGTGATTGGAATTTCGGACTTAACACTTTATTCCGTCTACCGGGGTAGGTTGTTCTAGTTCCACGTGCCATGCCTCTTCCGGGTGTCTCAGTTATCTTCCTTTAATTCAACTCTCCAAGTCTTTTGCTCACCACTGCTGTAGCCCGGTATTGAACACAACTCTTTGGGTCAAGTCACTAGATCCAACCAACGTTTTTATCCACTGGGCTATGTGTATTTGAAGAAAACACGGATGAAGGCGCCCGCAATATAACATCGTGGCAAAAGAAAAGTTTTTTTTCCCATGACACCGCTTTTTTTAAAACTATCTTTAATGTCTTTTTGTTTTGTTTTTTTTTTTAAAAAAAGAAACAGATTATGAAATTGAATTTATACATTATTTGTTCTTGAAAATTTACAACAAAAACAGTAAACACTATTTATATATTAGATAGTTTATTTACAAGAATAATTTTATATTTACAACATTATAAAACCTAGTACAATGCAATAATTCTCTTTTACCAATTTACAAAGAAATAAACGTGAAAATGTTTTATTCTTCAATTTATAAACTTTCATTAAATTATCAAAATATTTGAACAAGCTCTAAGGAAACCCTTCAATATCTGTCTATTTTCTGAGGTATTGTATCTATTTACACTATTTATATTGTTCGGGCTGTTGTCTTCATCTTTGTTGTCATATTCACGATGTTTCGGTCTTCTTAAGGTGACTGGAGTTTCGAAACGAACCCTTTATTTTGTTGAGATATCCGGAAGAGTCGTAGAACTAGAACAATATACCCTCATCTTTGTTGTCATATCCAAGACATTTCGACCGTTGTACGCTCTGGCCTTCTTAAGAATCTGTCTATATTACAGAGATGAGCCATTGTAATTATTTACACTTTATATTGTTCGGACTGTTGTCCTCATCTTTATTGCCATATTCAAGACATTTCTGCCTTCTTCAGGCGATATTAGTTGGAATTTCTAAGCAAACCCTTTATTTAGTCCACGGTTTAGATTGTTTTAATTCCACGTCACATGCCTTTGGATAACTCAGTTTCAGTCAATTCCCCTTGATCACTCAAATCTCCAATTTTTTGTTTCTTCTACTGCGGCCAGGTATTGAACTCACAACTCTTTGTGTCGAATCACTTTTGGATCACCCAACCAACGCTTTTATCCACTGGGACATTACGAGTATCTACTTGACTGATTATTGATGATGTTTATTAGGTGAAATGCATATATTTCTTCCTCTTTCTATTTCTTTTACTATCAGTAGAGGTTTATCCCTTGTTTCCTGTTTAGGATCAGGTTTCTGGTTTCTTCTAATGCCTTCTCGATCTCTTTCACTCCAAGTAGCCTCTTGCGTCTCAGTGGCTTTATCCCCTTGATTGGGTTGAATTGATTTAAAAATGCCCCTAATTTAATCTGTCTTCACCTGATTTTGAATAGTGTTTTTTCTATTGAAATTTTCTCAATGATTTCCTTGCTGTTTACTCGCCCCGTCCATGGAATCTTCCGTCTATACCTAATTTATATATTACTGTATATCGTCAAACATCCAACATTGTGTTTATAACTGTGGTTTACAGAGTCATTGGTAACATTCCACCTCTTCGGATCTAGGTTTCATAATTTCTTCCACCATTTTGAATTGTCGATATTTACCTACATTCCGACTGTGGTAGAATGAGGCGTATGGTTTCTCCTGTTCCTGCGACCACTTTCACGCTGGTTTGCTTTGACACGTTCTTTTTAACGCGGTGAGGGAAATACCAGCTCAAACCCCACATAAATATGGTCTCTATCATTTTGAATTGTCACCTAGTTCTAAGTGACTCGCCTTTTAGAATCATTGGTCTGTAAGTTTTTGATGAGGTATTAATATTTCGCTCTGAAAATGATGGTCTCTTTATTACTGATTATGTGACATTATATTATGTACAGCCTTCTTCAAGAGTACAATTCATAAAAAGGATGTATTTTTTCTGATCAATTTATACACCCCCAGTAGGTTCAGTGGTTCATTGTTTTGAACAAAGCTTTTTCTCTCAGCAGAGTTCAGAGTTTCTGAAGGGAACAATATCACATTGATTTCACAATTTCACTGATTTTAACACTGGAAAAATCAGGAAAAAATCAGTTAGGATCATGTTTGAGAGTTTTGAACTAACTACTATGTCCTTTTTAATTAAATCACTTTGTCGTTGAACGTATTAAGAAGAATTACTGACATTTATTTCTCCAATATTGTCAAGCATTTACGACTCGCATTTTTTTTACAATGACGTTCACACTATACAAGTCCCAAATAAGAGGCAACATCTCGAGCAAGGTGATAACGTCAAGACGCCAGAGGACACCGGAAGTGAAAGAGAGAGAATATACTTCAGAAGGAACAAAAAACTCGACTCTAAACAAGAAACTAGGAGGCCTCTATTCCTGTTCAAAAGACCGGGGAGGAGTGTGAACCGGACGATAGGCGAACTTATCTACTCCTATAGACAAAATCCCAAAATCTCTTCCAAAGTTTTTAGAAGGACTAGATAACCAAAGAAAACTATCAGCATTTCTAAAAGAAATGAAAATATTGAAAATAGTTCTGGTGATCTCGATCAAAAGCCATCAATTAACACTGGGGTGAAAATTTAATAGCAGTAATAGCAACAATGACTGAAAATGTTGATAGAGAGAGAGAAAAAGAGAGAGAGAGAGAAAGTGAGAGAGAAAGAAAGTCAGACAGAGAGAGAGAGAAAGAGAGAGCGTGTGAGAGAAAGTGAGAAAGAGAAAGTCAGAGAGAAAGAAAGTGAGAAAGTGAGAGAGAGAAAGTGAGAGAGTGAGAAATGAGAGAAAGTGAGAAAAGAGAGAAAAGTTTGTTTTCATATTTAAAATTATAGCAAGGAACAAAATCGTCCAGTCACATGGAAAATGTCTCTTCAATCTATCGGTTTAAAGCCTGGAATAATATTCTGGTTTGACTTCTAAGTCATTTTGGTCTCTGTTTCATTTTTTTTTTTAAATAATGGTTTCATTTAGTTAAAAGAAAATTACAAAGCCGTCTGTTGTCTTGAGTATTTAGCGAAGATACGTTACGTGTTAATAGCTTTGAAACAAGCCCGTTATTGAATAACAATCGGGTGCATAACGTCAAAATAAATTTTGAAAAAATGCTTTTGAAAGGGCATTCTCCAGAGGAAAGAGGTTAAAATGGCTCTTGTTTCGAAAACAAAATGAAGCAATATTTTTCAAAAACCAGCAGCAAATTCTTTGGCGGAGATCTTTAAAACGGAAAACCCTATCCCTTTCTTGCATAAAAGATAATATTGGAAAAGATGAACATCAATGCAATATCAATCAATCAAAGTTAATTAAATCAGCCAAAATTATCATTTTCAATTTGAAAAAATGAATCTTATTTTCTTTTTAAATCTCGCTTTTATTTTAAGGAGATCCGTAAACAAATCGATTTCTAATTGATATTTGATTTTTCCTTTTTAATCAGTTGGTAACATTTTTAAATAATTAAATGAAAAATCAAGGGGAGATAAATCAATTCCACTGATTGCATCGCTCGTCAAACGTTACTTATTTACGCAATGGAATTTCGTGTTTTTTTTTTTTTTTGGTTTTTTTTTTTATTTCTTCGTCTTTCTGTTCTTTCTTTCCTTACTTGATGTTTTTTCTTTCTTTTTTGGGGGGTTATTTTTTTTACCTCATCTTTTCATCCATAAGAATATATAAGAAGAAATACTCTTCTTTTTTTTCCCCTGGCAGGCATTACCGACCTAGTGAAGCAGTCCTTGATTTTATCAGTATTTATCAATGTTCAATGAATTAATAAGGATTGCGTAGCGAATTTATCCCGACATTTCCCCCTCCAAGATTTTCTCTTTTTCACTCACTTTCATTCTCTCTCGTACACACACTTTTCTATCTCTCACTTTCTCTCTCTCTTACTCACTTACTCACTTTCTCTCTCACTTTCTCTCTTTCTTTCTCACTTTCTCACTTTCTCTCCCTCTCTTTTTCTCCTGCTCACTTTCTCTCTCTCTTACTATTTCCCTTTCTCTCTCTCTTACTATTTCCCTTTCTCTCTCTCTCATTTTCTCTCTCTCTCCTTTACTCTCGCTCTTTCTCTCTCACTTTCTGTCTCTCTCACGTTTTCACTTTCTCTATCTCACTTTCACTCTCCCACTTTCTCTCTTGCTCTCTCTCACTTTCTCTCTGTCACTTTTTTACTTTCTCTCTCTCATTTTCTCTCTCTCTCCCTTTTTCACTCTCTTTCTCATATTCTCACTCTCATTTTCCCTCTCTCAATTTATCTCATTCACTTTCTCTCTCTAACTTTCTCTCTTTCTCTCATTTCTCTCTCTCACTTTCTCTCTCTCACTTTCTCACTTTCTTTCTCTCCCATTTTCTCTTTCTCACTTTCTCTCTCTCTCTGACTTTCTTTCTCTCTTTCTTTCTCTCCCTCTCTCTCTCTTTCTCTATCAACATTTTCAGTCATTGTTGCTATTACTGCTATTAAATTGTCACCCCAGTGTTAATTGATGGCTTTTGATCGAGATCACCAGAACTATTTTCAATATTTTCATTTATTTTAGAAATGCTGATAGTTTTCTTTGGTTATCTAGTCCTTCTAAAAACTTTGGAAGAGATTTTTGGATTTTGTCTATTGGAGTAGATATGTTCAGGGGTTAATTTTTATTAGTTAGGAAGAAATCCTAGCAAATATCTGTAGGATGTGTCGAGACATCTGGGAAGAGAGATATTTTTTTTTATCAGTCATTCCTTCGGAGTAGAATCAATACTAGCGACGCTATTTACTCTTTATAGATTCTTGACTGCTTTTCTTGTGCAAATTTCGACATGTTCAAACTTATTGAGACCAAGAAAATACACAAAAATAAATAAAAATATTTTTTTCAAATTCCCCATAGAACCACAATTTCATCAAATCTAAAAATAATCAAGTAAAACCAAACTTAGTTTCACGAGCACGCGGACGTCGTAGTAACCGCACTATGTGATTCTTCTCAACTAATGGGAAACACGATAAAGCTATTAAATTATGTTTTTTTTTCTTTTGAGCCTATCTCCAGTCTATATAAGAACGGACCAAATGACACACAGACGACTCACAAAAGCACAGAGAAAGGGACTCACAGCAAACGCATACGGAAGGACTCACAGCAAGCACACACAGGAGCGAACACAAAACGATTCTCAACAAGCAGACACAGGAGTATACACGGTGCATTCATTTACTCACACCATACCGAAGAAAGACTTTCTAATTAGGACACTCATATATATATATATATATATATATATATATATATATATATATATATATATATACGTGTGTGTTTTATACTTACATATATTACGCACAAACTCTCATAACCGTACATACGCGAATATTTGTTTACTCTAAATTTATTTCTCTAGGCACTTTACGAAACTTCTTTTTAACTCTTCTGAGAATATCTTTCCTCTTTTTCATTTGTCATTATTGTTGTTATGAAATTATATTCAAATTTCTTTGATGATGTCCTTCTATTCCTTGTTTGGAGCGTGCGAAGGGTTGTTCCCTCTTTCTTTTATGTTCGTCTGTTCTCGGACGAAACATCACCTTTCATTTCCCCAAAATGAATTAGTAATAAACGTCTTCATTCGACTGCCAAAACAAAACCAAAAACAATTGTGCCACAGGCTAAAAGCGGCAATACTTTACCGCTCTTCTCGGTATAGTAAGGGATTTCAGCAGTTCTCTACTGGTGGATTCAATTCTTCCAGCCTTTCTGTTTGGCTCTTTAGGTCACAGTTCCAAGTGACCAATTAACAATGTGCACGACCGTCATTTTTATGTTCTCTAATTTATTCACTTCAATTGAGGTCCTAAGGTATTTGTTCGGTTCCTTTCAATCATGTGTTTTTCCTAAAGCATCGGAATCCATAATCTAAAAAAACATTTCCTTATTTACACTAGTTAAATGTTTCAGACATTTGTCCTCATCTTTATACATATTCAAGACGTTTAGTTCGAACCCTTTATTTCCTCCAGCGGCATAGATTGTTCTACATCTACATGCCATGCCTTTTCTGGATATCTCAGTTTCCGGTGGGCGAAATAAAGGGTTCGTATCGAAATTCCAACGTATATCACCTGAAGAAAGCCGGAGCGTAGAATAGTCGAAACGTCGTGAATGTGACAATAAAGATGAGGGCAACAGTCCGAACAATGTAGATAGTGTAAATAATTACAATACCTCATCTCAGAAATATAGACAGATGTTTTTTTTGTTTTTTTTTTTTTTGTTTGCGATAACTAGATCTCAGCTTCCAGCCCTGGTTCGATTATCCGTTTCCATAGAATTTTAAGTGTGTTCTTCTCCGAAACAGATTTTATATACCAGTGGTCAGTATAATCAATTCTCGCTGCTTGAGCACTTCCCAGTAGATGATCCACCCACCCAGTCATGTATATATTTTGACATTTTTCATGAGCCAACGTGCTGTATTCTCAGCCGCATCTCTACACAGTCTGCATTTGTTAATTTTCTGCGTCTTGTCTTTTATATAATTGGTTTTTATGGCGTTTTTTTAGGTGGTGGGGTGCTGATTATAATGATTCAATTTCGCATTTCAGATGGTCTCTGCGCAACTATTTCCATGTCATTTCACCTGCAATTTCTTCAATTTGTCTCCTGAAATAACCATGCTGTTGAACTTCTTTCCATATTTAGCTTCTCGTTATAGAGTTACTTGGTCCATTGCTCGTCCTCCCGTTGGTTCGATCTGATAGTAACTCTTTCCATTTTTACATGTAGTCTATCTGTATTGTCCCTCGAAACCAACGCTTCATGTAATGTCAATAACTTTATTGTTTTTCTGTTGCAACTTTTAGTTGTCATAATTCACCTTTCATTCCTCTGCCTCGAACTAGCTTCAATGTTGGCTAGCGCACTTTCCTTTTCCCATGGGATTCAACACTTTACATAATGTCTACATCTTTCTTGTTTTACAATCCAACTGTTCTGTTGCAAATTTTGTTTGTCATAATTAACCTTTCATCCCGCTGCCTTGAGCAATCTTCATTACTGGAGAACGCTCTTTCCTTTTCATATATAGTCTATCAATATTATCTCTGGGGCGCAACGCTATATGCAATATTAACAACTTCCTGGTTTTGTAATCCAATTTCTTCTGTTCATTTTTTCCAACTTAAGATAGATCTTGAATATTTCGCTATATTACTCGGGTACTTGTTTCTTTGATCTGAGTTTTGTTTCTAATATTTCCATTGTTCTTCCGAGGGATTCTGCGGTGTCGACTTTTTCTTCCAACTCATTTTGCTTAATTTAATCCGTCTCTGTTATTATTATTATTATTATTATTTCATTTCATGTCTCTTTCGACATCATTCTTTTTCATCATCATCATCATCATCATCATCATCATCATCATTTCTTCTTTCTCATTCGCCTCATTCTTTTTTTTTTCATCTCTTTTCATATTTAATGTTTTCTTCATCATTATCATCATCTTTCGTGTCCTTTCTTCTTTTCTCATTCTTGTAAATTTTCTTTTTGTCGTTGTCTTTCTCCGAGTTTCTTCTTCATTTATTCCTCATTATGTCTTTTATTTTCTTCATAAAACGAGGTTTTATTTAACGCCTCACAAAGACAAAAAGCGAAACATTTTTAAAGAGATAATATATATATATATATATATATATATATATATATATATATATATATATATATATATATATATCCAATGCTTCATAGGGTTCAAGGTCGCAATTTATGGCGTGCTATCCAAACATGGCCCCGTTCCATCGGCTATTGCCGTAGGTGTGCTTTTATATGTGGTTAAAT